AGTCCACTCATCTTAAAGTGGCCAAGTTTGGACAACACTGGCCTATGCCCATCAGCATTGGCCTGACCAATTAGATCTACCAGGGAGAAACTGCTGCAAATCCCAACTTTCGGGAGATTCAGGGGCCAAGGCAAGGCAGCGCTGCTTCTCTGAGCACCGACGTGGCAGAACAGCTTCCCGCTGATCAGATTGCTCCCTCTTTGCTGGCCTTCCAGAAGCTCTCGAAAACCCAATTGTTTTAGAGGCCTTTTGCTTTTCTACAGCTTTTGCAGTTGTTTTCTTTTTACCATGGATGTTTTCATTGGTAGCTGTTCCACGTCAGCCGCCGAGAGTCTTTTTTGATTTTGGTGGGAGGAATAGGCAAAATAAATAAATTATATGCACCAGTTTTGGGTGGCTGCCTACTGGTGGTGGTTAGCCTGGGTGCGGTTTTACCGGTTAGGTCAGTCCAATACTGGGTCAGCTGGCAACGTTGGTGTCAGTGGCTTTGGGAGGCATCAGGGACTTGCCTCCGGAGGACCCCTGGCCTTTCTTGGTGCCTGGCTGGGGGAAGACTGGCCTACCAGTGTCTAGAAAGGAGCTACTTTCTGTAGCATTGTCTAATCTCGGATTTGCTAATCTTGGTTTTATCTTTCCATTAGTACCCTTTCATTGCAGTCGCTTCCTCCACCCACCCTCCTGCCCCGCTGCTTTAACCTAAGAGAGGAATTTATGGCTTGGGAAAGCACGAACAGATGGAATCCCCGTTTGGGGGCCACAGGAAGCTGCAATGGAGGAGGAGAATCCATGCGGGTAGGGGTGCCCGGAGCCAAGGGTCAAAAAAGATGGCAGCCACAACATGGTGACCAAAGCTATGCATATAAACTGGGTGGAGCTTTGATTGCACCATCATGGCCACCCACTTGACTTTTTTGACCACATGGGGCAGACTCCCCTGAATAAGAGGGTTTGTGTTTTTTGTTTTTGAAAGGGTGGCAGGAAACGAGAGCCCTGGAGAACAGGAGAGCTGGCCGGCTAGAGGAACGTCTCTTGAGAAAAGAAAATAATTTTGCAATTGGCCTCCTCCATCTTTCTCTCCCCTTTCTAATCAGCCTCGCCTGGAGCTAAAACAAGGGTGGATTGATCTCTTCCTCCCCTCCTCTCTGCAGTGGGAAGGCTTGCCAAAACAAGCAGACTTCGAAGGGAGGGGAGCCAACAAGCGCAGGGAGAGCATCAGTGGGTGGGTGGCTGATTGGGTGGGGCCAAGCTGTGAAACCTCCGCCCCCCCCCAGATAAAAACCTGAAGGCCTATTTAAGCTAGATCAACAGGAGGGGCACATGGGAGCCTGCGTGAACTTTCTAAAGTAGTGTTTTTCGAACTTGGCAGCATTAAGACGCGTGGACTTCAACTCCCAGAATTCCCCAGCCACATGTCCCGAGCACCAGGACCTCTCCGTTGGAAACAGAGCATCACCTCATCCTGTTATCATAGCACCCCCCCCCCATTTTCCTGAGTTTCCTGATTAAATCTGGTCTGTACAACTAATCCCCCACAACACACTAAGCCATTACGGGGTCTGTTGACCTTTGGCTTAGGGTCCTGCAGGAACTTGATCACAGCAGCTTAAGACCCTTCCTTTGACAGCAGTGCTGTGGACCAAGCCGTAGGGGATTTATTCAGTAAACCACTAATAACCCGGGTTTATATGTGCAGCCTGGGTGTGTCTGTTTCACAGCCCACTCCACCTGGCCTTCTTACCTTCCCCACCCCTTTTCCTCAGATCCTTTTTAATATTCTATTACTCAGAGAAGAATTCTTGGAAACTCAGAGAAGAATTCTTGGAAAATCAAAAGGCGGTATGCTGCTTCATGCCCTGAATTGTCCTGATAAAGCTACGGCCCCCTCATTCATGAATGATGGAGTTCCCCCCCCCCTTTCTCACGGCTAACCTGGTTCCTTTTGCATGATCTCCACCCCGTTCCTGGATTCTAGGCTGCCCGGAGACTGGCCCCGTGCATCCACGGAGGCAGCCCCCCCATCCATCTGCTGGCGGTAGGGGGGGCTGAGAACAATGGAGGTGGCAGGACATCCTGTGGGGAAACAAGGACGCATTGATCCGGAAAACGCTTGTTGTCGCCTGGGGCGGATTCCTGGCAGGAAGGACTGGCCAGAGGGGAGTTAGAGTCAACATGGGGAGTGGAAGAATGCATCTGTTTATGTCCTGACTGTCTGCATTCACAAGGAACTTGCTTTGTTTTCTCGCTCCTGTCCAAACACCATCCGCCTTCTCTCATCTTGCCCGGCAGCTGCAAACATGCATAAAGCCGCCGTATGCTCACCGGGTGATAAGGCTGGTGGAGTTGCGTTAGTGCATTGTGTGATCCGATCCATTGTGGTTTATAAACTAGGGTTTAAGACTTAGCCATTAAGCCTTAGTGCAAAGACAGCCAATTCTGGCCTATCCAATACAACAATTCAATGAAGCAGGGGTGATGGCAGTGAGTGAATTCAGCCATTGACTGAATTCCCCACCCCAGTTGGGGAATTCTGGGAGTTGAAGTCCACCTGTCTTAAAGTTGCCAAGTTTGAGAAACACTGGGCTAAACCAGTTTGTCTCTCTTTGGTTGAGCACAATGCATGTTTGGCAAACCAAGATTTGGAGCACGGTATAAGCCCAGCCAATTGTAGCTTCCTCCAACCATAGCTAAAGGAAGTCACAGTTTAGGACAATGACTGAACCAGGCCCATTTCACCCACTCTAAAGCAGTGGATTGTATCTTGAAGGTACCAGCAGAAGGCTAATAGACAGATGTACATGTGAAAAAAGTACCAGAAAGAAGAGAGTGAGCACGGCAGGGCAGGGTAGCGGGAGACCCAGGTGCCAGCCCCCAGCCAAATTTTGGCCCCCTCCCTCTTTTCCAGCCCTCCTCCCACACGGGGAAAAGATGGATCTTGTGCTATGCCTGGAGAAAGTACTGAATACGAAGACTGAGAATGGCTGTTTTAAGTTGTCAGGCAGCATATCTGTCATGCCTCTCCAGGGCTTACATTTCCATGGGATGGGGCCTCTAATCAGGCACGCCTGGGAGTTGGTCCTGCGCATCTTGTAATTCGCCAAGTTCGGCAGCAGCCAACTTTGGCGACTCCCCAGGGCTGCCGGGCCTGCCCAAGCAAGCTGCTCCCAGAATGCCTGCGCGACAGGCTACCTGCAGTTCCACGGGTCACCTGCTCCGCTGCGAAAACACGGCATCACTTCCTTTACCCTGACAGGCCCCTCGCAGATGGTTCCTGAATCGGCAGCGTTTTTGGAAGGTGGGGTGGAGTTAATGCTGAAGGTAGCTGGGAAACTGACCGTTTTGCTCAACTTCGATGCTGGACAAACAGTCTGATACGTGTCTCAGAGCTGTTCCAGCTATCTCAGGAATGTTTGCTCTGCCTTCCCCGAATGGTTGCTGCTTGGATGTGCTGCTGCGGTTCCAACCTGGCTGGAAGTCACCGTCTCAACTCATCTCAAGGTCATCAGGCTGAAGAAGGCTGGTGTGTCCTCCTCTCGACAATGGGCCTGACTTTCACATTTCTCTCCCCAAGGCCTGGGAACTCTGCACAGCTACTTGTGGAGCAAAACTTCACAGACGTAACAAGGGCTTGGAAGAAATTTGAACGAACTCTGATCTGGTTGGGGAATAACCAGAGCTGGGCTGCAAACATCAAGACCAGGGTTGCTCAACCTTGGCAACTTTAAGATTGGTGGACTTGCTGGCTGGGGAATTCTGGGAGCTGAAGTCCACCCGTCTTAAAGTTGCCAAGGTCGAGCAATCCTGATCTAGACCACTGTTTTTCAAACTTGGCCACTTTAAGATGAGTGGACTTCAACTCCCAGAATTCCCCAGCCAGAATTCTGGGAGTCGAAGTCCACCCATTGTAAAGTGGCCAAGTTTAAAAAACACTAACCAAGGCAATGGTTAGGTGGCAGCAAAGGGATGCAGAAAAAACTAACTCTTCACTGCCACCCAGAGGTTGCTCAGATGTTTGCAGCCCAGGTCTGGCAGCTGTAAGACCTTCATCAGAGGCCTCTTTAAATTAAAGTCTTGAGATGGAGGCTGTCCCAGGAAAAGGGTGTTGAAGGCACCAAAGCAGGAAGTGGCAAGCTAGAGAGCTAAATTTGCAGGTGGGAACTGGGGAGATGTTAATTGTGGGTGCCCATGTTGGAAGGTGGCTGTGGTCGTCCTGTGTGCCCACACAAGGAGGGGGACGAGGAAGGCCCTGCGCCAGACACGTGCATGGCAAGAAGATGGTGGTGGGGACATAAGTACTGCGAAAGGCAGGCAGAACGTCCCATGGTTAAATGGGGCAGGAGAGAAAGGCTGGGACCTACGGCGGCAGTTGATGATGGGCCTTGTTGCACGCCAGCTGGGATGGCTTCGCCTCAGCCAGTTCGTACTGGGTGGCAACTGTTTCAAGCTTTTATTCTGGGCCCTGCAGCAGCGGGCACACCCTGTCATTATCCAGAACAGCCTGGGAAGGGAGAAGGCAGAGCAAAGGCGAGGGAGGGGGACGTCAGGGAAAAAAAGCGGGGGGAGGAGGATGGCTGGGCCGGGAAAGTCACCCGTGGGCAGGAAAGGAAGGGGGGTGACTGCAGGGCGGCCCGCTCAACCCTGCGGGAGGAGCCTCTTTGGGTACCAAAAGGCACCAGGCTGGTGTGGTTTGGAACAAAGACTGTGCCAAGCTGTGCACTTGGCAGGAAAAGCTAATACTTGAAATAGGAAGAAACTCCGGATTTCACGGTGAGTCAGGGCTGCCTAGAAGTGGCAACCCAGGACCAGTTTTAAAAATCAACTATCTCAAAGGTGTATCCTGGATCTGATAAAGGTAAGAATGACAGGTGCCCACGTGCAAAGGGTACCGGTTTCACTCCCGTGCCTTTGGGGACAATGCAGCCCTGACTTATTCAGGCCAGGATGGCCTTCTGGCTCCTTTGTGGTTTTAAGGCAGCTTCCTTCCCCAAAGGCTCCTGCCAGAGAAAAGTCTTCCAGGAGATCGCAGCATGCGCTAATTTTCTTTTGTTTCATCTGCAAAACGTTTCAAGCCATTTCTTGGGCCAAGGATGCGCAAGGAAAAGATTCTCCATCTCTAAAGGTTTTTTAAAAGAGGGCAGATGGAATGATTTAACTGGTTTTCCTGCACTGTGCAGAGGGTTGGACTAGATCAGTGTTTCTCAGCAACTTTAAGATGTGTGGATGTCAACTCCCAGAATTCCCCAGCCAGCATGCAACTGAACGAAAGCAACCATACACAAAATGGAGCAAACCTATGATAGATTACCTTTTACCACCATTTCCAGGCACAAGGAAAAAATATTTGTTCTTATTACGCTCATATATTAAATAGGGTTTCATACATTTTCATGATGAATCGTCTCTCAGGGGCTCAGAATGGCATGCAAAATTCCTCCCCCCTCCCCTTTCATTTATGTGTGATGTGATATCAGCTAGTGAGAGATGGAAAGAGATGGGCCCAAAGTCATGCACGGGATGAGTTTGTACAACACACTGAACTTGTTTACTAAGTTAACCTATTTTCTGATCCATAAACCAGCCCAACGGGCCAGGTTTCCACAGCAGGCTACACCACAGGGAAACTTAATCCAACCAAGCTCAGCATATTGTGTGAATGCAACTAGGAGTGGTCTCTGGCAAAGCCACCCTGGGAATTCAACAACCGCAGGAGGACTTGAATCCACCCTCCTCCCAGGCTCCTAATGTCTGGGGATAGGAGGTCAGACCATAGCATATGCGATTAACCCAGTATGTTGGTTCACATGAATCACAAGCCAACTTTACTAATCTGGTTCGCACAACCAATTTGGGGTGGAGGCGGTTGGTTAATTTGAGAGACAGTCTTGCAGGCCAATTCAGCTGAGCAGAAAATTACCAAAGGGAATCAAAGGGAACACGCTGAGCTAAGGCTCACCCAGACGTACATATTTTGTACACACCAATATAACCAGCCCAAACCAGTTCTCGGGGCGAGGGTCATCCTTCCACATCCACAGAGGTCTCAGAGTCTGGGGCTCTAGTCAGCATCCAGCTCCGTGCATGGGAGCAACACGGCTGGGTTGTTTCGTGGTAGGAGGGGGCGGGGGGGGGAGGCTTGCCAAGAAAGAATGCTGCTGATATCCTGGGGAAGCAGTGGTAATCAGGGACTCATGTCACACAAAGATCCCTTTCAGGAGCCCCCAGGGCAGGGAGGTGGAGGGGGGGGGGGGGGGGGGAGGCTTGCCAAGAAAGAATGCTGCTGATATCCTGGGGAAGCAGTGGTAATCAGGGACTCATGTCACACAAAGATCCCTTTCAGGAGCCCCCAGGGCAGGGGGGTGGAGGGGGGGGGGCAAGGTCAGGCTGGAGCTGGCCTTGCAATTTGCTATTTATATATTGGCTAAAAACAGGGAAGGGGGCACCGAAGAAAGGGCCCGTCAGGAAACAAAAACCACACTGTCCTGCCGCTCTGCCCCCTCCCACATTCATAAAATTCCTCTTCCCTGGGCTTGCCCCTGCCTTCCTCCTCCTCCTCCTCCTCCACCCCCACTCTTTCAGCCCAGGGTTGGCTTTCACGGATCACCAGAGGGCAGAAAGCAAAAAAGGCTCTCCTGTAAAAGGAACAGTTGTGGCATCTTGCCCAGGAGATCAGGGCCCGCCTGAACCCGTTGGCTTAGCCGGAGCAACCCGGAGAAAGCTGCCGCCAGCTTGGGCTGGGAGATGCTGAGCGCCCCAGAAAACTTGTGGAGGGAGGGGGTGTGCACACACATGCACACTTCTGCCTTGGGAGGGTGCACATTGCTAACATTTGTCCCAGCTTGCCTAGAAAAGAAGACTGTCTTGCGTTGCCAGGAGAGACGGGGGGGGGGGATTGGAGGGAGGGCTGAATTTTAAACGGTGGCAATTCCAGCCCGGATGGGGGCCCACCACGGTGCTTTGTTCCTCTCTCTCTCTCTGTCTGTCTCTCACTCACACGCATCCTTGCCTCCCTGCATCCAACATGTTTGGGGGGGGGGTTCTCCTGCAGCGCAACGCCTCCTTCCCTTCCAGACGCGTTTAGGCCTGTTTGGCGCATTCAACCTGTTTTGCACATTTGCACACTCTCCACTCCAGAAGAAGGGAGCCTGGCCGGGCCCTCTCCATTCCTGTCTCCTGCTTAGGTGTGTCCGTAATGTATGCTTAAAAGATCCAAGCGTCTAGCCACAGGCGCTCAAGTCCGTGTTCACACACAACTGGGTCAAGCAATTGGGTCAAGACACCATCGCGTGCCTGCCTGCCTGCCTCCTTTGCGCACAACCCCCTCCCCCCCCCTCCTCTCCCTCTTCTGGACTGGAGCAGCGCAGAAGCCTTAGCCAAGAAATCAATGAGCGCCTTCCCCGGGTTTGCACCTACCTTCCTACTCTTT